TAGTAGTAGTAGCAGTAGCAGTAGTAGTAGTAGTAGTAGTAGTAGTAGTAGTAGTAATAGTAGTAGTAGTAGTAGTAGCAGCAGTAGTAGTAGTAGTAGTAGTAGAAGTAGTAGTAGTAGTAGTAGTAGTGGTAGTAGTAGTAGTAGTAGTAGCAGTAATAGGAGTACTAATAATAAGCTTAGCAGACGTAGTATATGTAGTAGTAGTAGTAGTAGTAGTAGTAGTAGTAGTAGTAGTAGTAGTAGTAGTAGTAGTAGTAGTAATAGTAGTAGTAGTAGTCGTAGTAGTAGCGAGAATAGTCGTGGAAATCGTACTAGTAATAGTAATAATCGTAATCGTAGTAATCGTAGTTGCAGTAGTGGTAGCGGTATAAGTAATAGTAGTAGCAGTAGTAATAGCAATCGTGATAGCACTCGGGAGTGTAATACAAGTAGTAGTAGTAGTAGTAGTAGTAGCAGTAGCCGTGGTAGGGGTAGTAGATGAAGTAATGATAGCCATAGCAACAGTAGCAGCCGTAGAAGTAGTAGTAATAGTAGTAGCAGTAGCAACAGTAGTAGTAGCAGTCGTTGTTGTTGTAGTTCGTCTTGGTACTACCAGTAGTGAGTAGCAATACGAATAATACTAAGGAGGGGTAGCACAGAGAGAGTAGCTCTTGCAGAATTAGTATGAGGGCGAATAAAAATTCTAAGACTACCCGAGGGCATAATACGAGCAGCGTAAGCAATAGTGGAAATATTAAAACGTCGAGACGTAGTACGAATGGCAATAATACGACCCGAAGACAAAGCAGCACCAGTAACAGCAATACCAATATCAATGGCAGCAACATTAGAAGTAGCACCAATCATAATACTACGCCGACCGAGCAGCAGTAGCAGCAGCAACAGTAGCAGTAAGAGTATTACTTAGTAGGCGTAGTAGTACTACTAGTAGTAGTAGCAATAGAAGTAGAAGTAGTAGTAATCGTCGTCGTAGTCATAGTCGTAGTAGTAGTAATGGTCATCGTCGTAGTACTTGTAGTCGTAGCAGTGGTGATCGTAGGCAGTGGTAGTGGCTTCAGTCGTATAAACAATAGTAAAAGCTAGTGGCGATACCAATAATAACAAGGAGTAGTCGTACGAATTCTAGCTAGCACGAGTAGCAATACTCGAGTAGTACTACCAGTAAGAGCAATAGTGATATCAATCGAACTAGCAGTAGTACTACCAATAGTAAGTACAGCAGTAGTAGCACCACACATAATGGTACTACCAGCAGAAATAACAAGACCGGTAGCACTCGCAGCAGCAGAACGACGACTTCGGATCAGCACTAGAAGTAAGAGTGGTAATAGCAGTAACTAGTAGCGGTAGTAAGTTTACTAGTGATAGTAGTAGTAGTAGTAGTAGTAGTAGTAGTAGTAGTAGTCGTAGTCGTAGTAGTAGTATCAGTAGCAGTAGCAGTAGTAGTAGTAGTAGTAGTAGTAGTAGTAGTAGTAGTAGTCGTAGTAGTCGTAGTAGTAGTAGTAGTAGTAGTCGTAGTAGTAGTAATAGTAGTAGTAGTAGTAGTAGTCGTAGTAGTAGTACTACTACTACTACTACTACTGCTACTACTAATACTACTACTACTACTACTAAAAGTAATAATACGATTGATAAGCGCAGTACTGACCGGCATAATCTTAATCGTGAGAATAGTGGCAGGAGTACGAGACAAAAGTAGAAGCAGTAGTAGTAGTAGTAGTAGTAGTAATAGTAGTAGTAGTAGGAGTAGTAGTAGTAGTAGTACGAGTAGTTGTAGTAGAAATACTATTGCTAGTAGTTAGGTTCGCAAGCATGGAGACTTGCTTCGGCGCCCTAACTTGTCTTTTTCTTCGGCTAGTGTGCGATAGCGTTGGTTCGTGTGCTGAAAAGTCACCCCCCCTCCTCCCTCCCCCGCGCCCTCCCTCCCGCCCACTCCTTATCCCGCCTTCCCCGCTCCCTGCCCATGTGTCTTCTGACGGAGTTGGCCCATCACTGAAGCCCCCCTCCATCTCTGAAGCCCTAAGCCTCCCCAGCAATCCCTGGGCTTCCATGTTCCATACGCCTGCCCGCGTTCCTGCGCCCCCCCCCCCCCCCCGCGGGTCGCAACTCGCTTCGAGTTCCCGCTGAGTTCCCGCTGCGTTCCCCTACGCCCCCCTACGCCCTCCTGCGGTCTTCTGCGCTCCCCTCCCCCTGAGCCCCTGTTGCGACCCCCGCGCGCCCCCCACATGCCCCCCTGCGTTCCCCTTGCGCCCCCCTACGGCCCCCTGCGCCCCCCAGCTCTCAGCGCAGCGCACATTCGTCTTAAAAGCTTGCAGCAGTTACAAGGATGGAGGGCGGCTCCGTTTTTTCAAACATGGGCTCTCGCTTGAGACTGCTTCATAACTCAAAACCGAACCGTAGAACATGCGCAACGGGTGCACAGATGGAGGACGCATCCTTTACAAAATGGGGCTGACTTCCGCAGCATCCAGGCCCGCAAGTTATGCGGTCTGCGGCGCTCCCCCGCGTGCTCCTCGCGCGCCCCGTTCGCGATCTCTGAGCGCCCCCCCTACGCCCCCCTACGGGTGCCAGCGCCGTGCCGATGTCTTGTGCGACCCGCACCTTCCGTACGCCTTTTTGGCTCGAGATCTTCGCCAAGGTTCATGTCCCATGTCGCGTCCATGAGCTTGGCATTGCAAGCGAAGCACTTGCGCGCTCAGACGGCGGCCTCCCTCGTGGAGCTTGAACGCAGCCGAGGTTTCCCTGAGGTCGCCCAGGCATGCACAGAATTGCAGGGCGCTTTGGATGGAGCTTTCGATATAGAGGCAGCGGGGCGGCGCCTTCCGAAGCCCCGCCGCCGCGGTGTTTCAGAGCGGGCGCAGCCAGAGCGATTGAAACGCAAAGTCAGAGACCTGCGGAAGGAGAAGCGCGAGGCCAAAGAGAAGGCCACCAATGAGAATCCAGCGCGGGGACTGGCGAATAGGGTGGCCAACGTTTGGCACGTGCGCGCGATGCTGGCCGATACTTACATTTCAGCCGAGGTGTTGGCTGACGTTTGTCGGCAGTTCACTGTGGAAGAAAATTCATCGATCAGCGCTTCGCAGGTCGGGAGGGTCCGCGACGCTGGGGCCGAGATATTAAAGGACATGCTGGGCGACGCTTTGGCCAAGCGGATGGCTGGTGCGATCGCCGAGGCTCGCCCTGTGGGCCATGCGCTCCCAACTGTGTACTTGGTCCATGTGCACGATGGTGCAGATTTGCGTCTGCGTTCTCAGTCTGCAGCGCAGCTGGGGGACGTGCACATGGCGCTCCCGCGCACCTCTTTGCGCATGTCACGAAGCCGGAGCTCTTCCGTGCAGAACCACTGCTTGAAGATTTAAGATTTCGTTTGCGGGCGGAACGTATCCGTGGTTTACAGACCTTCATGCTTTGGAGAACAAATCGGCTGCGAGCATTGCGACCAGTGTGATACGGGTCGTGTCTGCCGCTGTGTCGGCGCTCCTCCGAGATTCGGCGGCGCACCTCGGCGGGCGGCAGGTTCGCTTCGTGCACCTGTGCACCGCGGACGCTGCTTTCGCCAGCGAGGCAGCGATGCGGATCGTGGCTCTTTTCTTTATGCAGGATTTCGAGCTGGCCAATCGCATCGCGCACAGGCTGATTTTATACCGGCGTGCGTCTCACAAGGTGAACTTGGCCGTTCAGTTTGCTATATGCCGCCAGAGACTTCGGAACCCCATGCGCTCGCATCGTCTGTGCTGCAACGCAGTTCGGCTGTTCAAGTATCTCACGCCGCCTTACGCCGACCACTTCGGCATGCAATTGCGGGACCACATCATTAGGGGCTTCGAGGTTTTCGAGCGCGCCGCACTGCCTGATGACCAGCGGCCCGACTATGGGCTTCGGCGTTTGTACGGCGACGACGTCATCACGCCGGAGATCGCCAAGTTGCTGAACGTGGATTTCCACCGTTTGGAAATGGCGTGCCCGCCAGGGGCGGAGTTGCGCGAGATGCGCGGCCTGCTGCATTCTGAATTGTATAGATCGATAGTTCGGGTGGAGAACCACCCCGTGGTCACGCGATTTTTCTTGTTCACAGATTGCGCCTTTGCCATTCTGCGAGCTCAACTGTTGCAGATTCCGTCCTCCGTCTTCTCACCGCACATGGCGAACTTGCGGGGGGGGGGGCCAGAAGCGGATCAGCGGGTTCCGCGAGTATTACGACAACGAGGCCGACCGCTTGGATTTGAAGAGAGCGTGCCTGAACTTACGACTCACGAAAGTCCAACGTCACGTGCTCGAAGAAGCCGAAGCCAGGCGATGATCCCGTCCTGGTTCAGATAGGCCGCGGTCGCGTGCAGGCCCAGGTGACGACCGAGCTTTGTGATGCATTAGCGAACCTGCACCACGACGCGAGCCTCGACCTCACTGACACTGTCCTTTCCTTGCTCCGCACGACCGTGCACGTCTGCCTGCGTTTCGGGGATTACAACGTGTTCAATTATCTGTGGGAGATGACGCTGAAATACAATCCGGACGAATGCGTTAATGCATGCGGAGTCTTCTTACGCACTCCAGCGAGCAGATTGGGCGGCGGGTACGGCGTGCTGCTCCAGTTAGAGGCGTTGCAGTACCCCACCCTCCCAGAGCAGTTGGATTTCTTGCTGGGGGACTCCGTGCAGGAGGAGCTCGTGGACATCGTGAACCGCATGGGGCACGACTCGCTCGACGCGGAGCGTAAGAACCACCAGGACAGGCGCAGCGCCAAGAATCATGGGACTACCACCTTGGCCAGGGGTTCCCGCAATGGGATGCTCCGTGAGTTCCGGACTTGGAGGCTGCGCCATCTCAGCGAGGCCGCCCAGAACAAGCGCGTTGAAAAATACTTGAAAATGGGGCCAATGGCCTGCGCAGTTCAGGAGATGCCGCATTTGATGCCGCGCGGCAGGGGCAAATTGCATTGGGGGGGTGACGTGCCCACGAGCGTTCAGAAGCAGTTGACATTCGCTGGTGACCGCGCCGCGCTCGAGCGGTACTTAGCTGATAATCGAGAGCGCTTGGCGGCAAAGGCGGCCGCTCTGTGCGCCCGCGCCAAGGCCGCCGCCATATGCGGGCCAGCGCTGTTGCCAGTCACGAACAAGAATTGGCTCGACTGGATGGCCGCCAACGAAGCGGTCTTCGCCGAGGCTCTGCGTTCCGCTTCGGCGAAGAGAAGAGACGCTTTCAACAGGAGGCTCGTGGCGTCAGACTTCCACAGGGAGCTCGAGCGCCTTAGCGTGCCCCTGCCTGCGCGCCCGAACTGGTCCCGTGTCGACCGAGCAAGAGCGGGCACGTCTTCCTCTTGAGATTTCTTGGCGGGCCGAACGTCGCTGTCTTGTGCGACGAGGTGGGGAATAACAGCTGGGCCGTTGAGCTGCTCCAGGTCCCTGGCGGCCCAGAGGGGGTGCTAATGCTGGACTGCAATCGCTTGGACAGGGCGTGCAAGCCCATGGGAGCCATCGTTCTCGGCGCAGGCGGGCACTGGCAAGATGCGGCTGAGCCAGAGATGTACGCGTTGACGGTATCCGTCGACCGCGTCGACAAGGGCCGAGTATACCTGCAGGCAGTGGACCATAGCTTGATCGAGGTGGTACCGCCGCCGCCGAAGCGCTCCGGGGCGGACGATACTCCGTGCGAAGATAGCAGTTCGGACGACGACGAGGGTGACGCTGAGGCGTCGGAGGTCGACGCCGAAACCGAGGATGAAGCCAGCTTGCTGGATGACATGGAGTCGGCGGCCGACGTGGACAGCGACGCCGTCTCTCATGGGGGTGGAGAGGAGGGCGAGGCGGAGACTGAGGGCGATGTGGATGACGCGGGCGACGCGCCCGCAGAGCCCGTGGCCGCCGGTCCAGCTGGCGCGCTGCCGGGGACACATGTGTTGTGGAACAACGGCAACTTCTACTTGAGCCACTACGGCGTCGATGCCAAGATGTACATCTGCCCGACGTGGGCGGAGGATGACCAAATGGGGCGAAAGCTGAAATCCAAGACGCAGCAGCTCGCTGAGCATGGAGGAATGGAGGCGACCATTTTCGCTTTGAGGGCGTGGATGATATATCGTAGTCAGCAGAACGACTGGCATCGCCGTTGCCCTGCTCGGCTAGCTTGGCATCGTGGCGAGGTCGCGGCGCTACGTCGCGACATCCAGGGGTGGGACCTGCGGGCAGCCACGCGCAATAGACTGCGCGACTGGGCGCCCGAGATGCTCGCATAAAGCGGACAAGGCCGCTGCCAGAAAAACGCGCGTCTCCTCCCCTCCCCTCCTTATCCTCTTCCTCCTCCGTTTATTTTCGCCCGTCCTCGGCGGCCCTCGCGTGCACTTATCCCTCCTACTCTTCCCTCTTCTGCTTCCTCGTTCGCTCGATCGCTGGGTGGCGGCCGTGACGCCTCGCTTCGCTCGATCGCTGGGTGGAGGAGGACGACGAGGAGGTGGAGGAGGAAGGAGGTGGACGAGGAGGAGGAGGGCGACGACGACGAGCAGGAGGAGGAGGAGAAGGTGGAGGAGGAGGAGGAGGAGGAAGAGGACGAGGAGGCCGAGCTCAGTTCGAGCGCAGTGGTTTGCCCGCGCTGTTTCACTGTTTGCGTTTCTCCCTCCCTTCTCCTGTCAGCTCTCCTGGGCATCGTTTCTGGATGGGCTGGTGGGGATGCGCGAAGCGTCAAGAATTAAAGGAACCCTCCATGGATCAACAACAGCGCTGGCACCGCCTCTGCGCTGGACCCTCGTGTGGCATGGAGCCTCTCACCCTTAATCCTAACCCTAAACCTTTACCGACCCTTAACGTTATTATTATTATTATTATTATTATTATTATTATTATTATTATATATATCTATATATATATATATATATATATATATATCACGCCAGGGCTTGTCGAGGGTCGTCGTTTTTTAGCCCTCCCAGGAGTCGAAATTGACCCCCCTGACGACCCGCGGGGCCCCCCCTCCAGGCCCAGGGGAGGGGGTAGGGGGAGGGGTAAACCCCTCCCCGAAGGGGAAGAAGTGGGGTTGAGGACAGAGCGGGCTCTCTAAACCACTCACGCCCAAAGGGCTGGTGGGATCAAGAGAGAGATTGCCAAGTAAGATGTAATTTGATCTGTTCGATTATACGCGCTGCCACGTGGGATACATCGATATGCATCTGACAAGGTCCAGCTGTATGCTTTGGGCGATCTGCGTTGCCGACGTGTTTGCCGGTATGGACATTTGTGCTTTGTATTGAAAACATTTCGATGGCATATGTGCTCGCCGTGCTCCTCCGCCCCCTTCGTCGTCGCCGCCGCCGCCGTCGTCGTCGACGAGCCGGCGCTCGGGGGAGCGCGCTCGCGCTCCGACCTCGGCGGGGCTCAGGGGACAGGGAGAGTAGTATCCATATTGAGTACTGGTAGAGGGGGCCCCCCTCGGAACGGCCGTTTACAGTCGAATTGTCAAAAACAAACATGAAAACCCACCTCCGGGAAATTCCGTGTGTAAACAAACAAGACGCGGGGGGGTGCCGAACATCTTCCGCACGCCATCAGGGGAATAGGGAGAGTAGTATTCATATTGAGTACTGGTGGAGGAGGAAGAGGAGGGGGAGGGGGAATGGTTGTGTTTTTCGTTTTTCCCGCGGGGTCCAAGAGCCTCCGCGGTCTCCCTGGAGTCAGGATTCTGGGCGATTCTGGTTTCCTGGGACGAGTGCCGGCGACCCCGCCTGGCAGTTTCGTGGAGGAGGAGGAGGAGGAGGCCTGTATCGCCGTTCGGGCTCAAGGATTACTAGCGCACTCGGCAAACTCCCGACCACAAGCTACCCGGCGGCCGGCTACCCCGCGCCGCAAGCATGCCCAAGAAGGGGAAGAAGGGGAATGGCCAGGAAGAGGTGCCCAAGGAGCAGCTGGACGCGGCCAAGAAGAGGGTGGAGCTCACACCATCGAACATCCGGGCAACGAGGCGCACCCTGGACAACCTGAAGCAGCCCCACACGGAGGAGAACCAGAGACTTGTCTTGGCCGTGAAGGACATCAGTGCGGGTTTTCTGCGGCGTGGCCTGAAGGAACTCCGGGTGACCCCAGAGCAGTTTGCAGTGTGGAAGACGTACTCTTCCGTGGAGATGAGCCGGACGTCGTCGGCCTGGTGCGTCCCGAAAGCCAACGTGCCAGACATTCTGGCAGAGTATTCCCAGTACGTGATCGACACCTCGGGGTGGGCAGAACAGCCGCCAGGTTTCGACCCTGAGAACGAAGTGCTGTACGACAAGCGGGCAATGGTGAACCTCCTGGGGCCCAACGTGGACGAAGTGGCTTTCAAACGGGCTCGCGGGGCGAGCGGGGAGCCAGGCAGTGGCGCGTTGGCTCTGCGCGACGAGGCCGCCTCCTCGAAGCCAACGCCGGAGGCTTCAACCGCTGGAGCGACTCCAGTTGACGCAGCGGCTGTGGAGGGCAAGAAAGGGGCGGCTGCGGGGCGAAGGAAGCTGAGGTTTCTGAAAAGCTCCGAGAGCAATCCGGAGGACATCGAGAAGCAATTGGAGATCACGGCGGAGAACGTGCAGACCAGCTTGAACAAGATCTACGTGCATGGCAATCCCGACAAGCCGACGGTGGTGACGTGGCTCAAGAGTTTCTGCTCCCTGGCGACGAAGCACTTGAAAAAGTCGGAGGGCGACGATGCAAAGGCAGACGTGCGCGGCTTCATCAGGTGGTTCTCGGAGGAGCTCTTGCAGCATGCCACCGCTTTGGAGCACATGGCGGCCATCTTGAAACCCCTCCAGGAGTTCGGGGCAAAGCAGACGGACATCTTCGCGAAGGCCAGCATGTGGAAGGTCGTGGAGGCGATGGCCGCGCAGAGCCCCCAGTCCACCAACGCGTTGCCGAAGGAGGATTTGAAGCCGTCCGAGCTCAGCGTGCTCCACGAATCGCCGCTCCACATCGCGTTCCAGACGGCGCGCGAGGCTTGGCAGTTGAAGGTATTGCGCGAGGACCACAAGTCAGGGAACGGCGCTCGCTTGGAGAGGCTGGAGGCATTGATGGAAGGGGCGGAGAAGACGGCGGAGATGTCTTTGATGAGCACCATGTGGGGGCCCACCTCGGACGCGACGAAGGTGAGGTACTTGTACGCCGAGGACGGGCGCGTGGACATGTACCGCGAGTGGGAGCCCGCGTCACCGCTGCTGAAAGCAGACCAGCTGTATTCGAAGGAGACTGTGTACAAGGGGATGCCGTACGACAAGTTCGCGGGCCTCCTGGACGCCCACGCTGCCATCACGGAGTCCGCCACGAGGATCGCCAATGCCATCGCGCGCTCCCTGTTCCATGTGCGCGACAAGATCCCGCAGGAGCTCTCCGCGCTGTTCGGGGAGGTGTGCGCGGCGAAGCTGGGCACGACCGGCGGGCCCGGCTGCGGCGGCGACATTGGCGGCATCGTCGGGGCCCTGGGCGAAGAGCAGGTTGGCGGGGGAATCCCAGCGGCACGATGGGCCCCCCTACGCCCCCCTACGCCCCCCTACGCCCCCCGTCCGCGGCGTGGGCGGGGGCGTAGGGGAGCGAAGGGGGGCGTAGGGGGGCGGTGCGGGAGGCCTCCGCGGCCACCCGCGCCCTCCTGTGCACTCCGTTGCCGCCGCGATTCTCCGGTCGCCCGAGGTTGCAGCGGCGGCGAAGGCGTGCGTCGACGGCCACCGAGCCCCCGTGCACGACGCGGTGGCGACTGAGGTCCAGAAGAGGAATGCGGCCCCGAAGCCCGCGGAGACCGCGCAGCCCGCGGCTGTCGAGAAGCCCGAGGCGGCCGACCCGGCCGCGCAGCCCGCGCAGCCCGCGGCTGTCGAGAAGCCCGAGGCTGTCCAGGAGCCCGCGCAGCCCGCGGCGCAGGCCGCGCCGCCCGCGCAGCCCGAGGCGGCCGACCCGGCCGCGGCGGTGACCGGGCAGGACGGGCAGTCCGCGGATGCCGAGATGGCCGAGCCGCCCGCGAAGAGCGAGCCGGCCGCGGCGGCGCAGGTGCCTGGCGCGACGGCGCCAGGGCAGCCCGGGAAGCCCGCGGCGCCTTCGGGCGCCTCGCCCGCCCCCCGGGGCTTCAAGAAGGGGGACCAGGTATAAGGATCGTGATGCGGAAAAAGGAGTTTAACGGGAAGACGGGCACGGTGGAGAACACGTGGTCCAACAGGGTGGAAGTGTGGATGCCCGAGGCCGACAATGGGAACGGCGAGTTCCGCACTTTCCAGAAAGTGAACGTGGAGCACATCCAGAGCGGCTAGCTCGGCCGAGTCCAAGCCCGAGCCGCCCGAGAAACGCCAGAAAGTTACGCTGTCGCAACTGTTCAAGCCACGTTCGGAACGCTAGGCGCTAGGGAGGACAGCAGCCAACCGCAGGAGGTGCGCGAAAACAGCACTCGCCGCATATCGTCCTGGCGCTCGTGCTTGTAATTCATCGCCACCGTCTGTTTCTGCGCCCTTGCGTCCTTCCTAGACCCGCGAGGTACCCTTGCGTCCTTCCTAGACCCACGAGGTACCCTTGCGTCCTTCCCAGACCCGCGAGGTACCCTTGCGTCCTTCCTAGACCCACGAGGTACCCTTGCGTCCTTCCTAGACCCACGAGGTGAACCGCGCGAGGATGCGGGATTGGTAGGGCGCCCATGGTAACCCTTGGGCGGGATGCCCCCGCCCCTCCAGTCGTCGTCAGCGTTCGCTTCCTCATGGAGCCTCCGCTTCCAGGGCGCCCCAGGAGAGTTCCTTCTTCTCCATCTCCTTACCGTCCTCCTCGCCGCTTCGGCTCAGTCCTCTGGCAGGGCGCGGGCGCGGGGGATCGCCGCGTCGGCGGCGGGCCCGGTGGGCCCGGGTACTCCCGCGTTTTCTGTAGATGAGATTCCTCTCGCTTCGCGGGGTGCACGTCCGGAGCACGTGCAGACTGGGCGTTGGGTGGTTTGCCCTGCTCGTTTGCCGTGTTGCCCCGCAGTATCAGCGCTGGGACGAGCTTGCGAATGTCCAGTCCACGAGGGCAATGAGCATTCTCCGCGTGTCAGTACAAGGGTGTCCTACATCTTCGGCAAGCGCGCTTTGCACGAGGACTTCTACCTCGGGGTCACTGCCCTCCTTCCGGAAGCCTACGTATTTTCCATCCGCACACCTGCCAGCACACGCTCCCGTGCCTGCACCTGGAGGTGCGCTGCGCCCAGTGGAGTTCGTGCGATGAACCACGTGCTGCACCTGGTCAAGACCGTCAGCTGGCCGCTCAGTCCAGTCGTTGTGGGGCCCTTTGGGAGATTCATTGGCTTACGCCGCGCAGTCGACCCCTTTGGGTCGACTGTCATGCCTCTCGGGTTCTCCTCAATGTATTTCTCGTGGCCTTCGGCCAGATCCGCCGCCACCCCAATTGGGTCGTGGACAGCGGGCATCTCTGGGAAACTTCTCGGGGACTCTTGGGAAGCTTCTCGGGGGCTTCTCCGCGGTGCGTTCGGGGTTTCCCGAAGCCTCTCGGGGGTTCTGCAGACCACCATGCGGGGCCTCTGGGCGTTTCGTGGGGGCCTATGTGCGTTTCGCGGGCTCGGTACTAGAGGGCGCTGAAGGGCACGATTGGGCACTATAGGACACTATCCGACACTAATCAACACTAAATCGATTCGGCGACGACGTCCCAAGTCTCCATGATTGCGGATCTAATGTACTAGTAATAAAAGTAGTAGTAGTAGTAGTGGTAGTAGTAGTAGTAGTAGTAGTAGTAGTAGTAGTAGTAGTAGTAATAGTAATAGTAGTAGTAGTAGTAGTAGCAGTAGCAGTAGCAGTAGTAGTAGTAGTAGTAGTAGTAGTAGTAGTAGTAGTAGTAGTGGTAGTAGTAGTAATAGTAGTAGTCGTAGAAATAGTATTCGTAGTAGTAGTATTCGTAGTAGTAGTAGTAGTAGTAGTAGTAGTAGTAGTAGTAGTAGTAGTCGTAGTAATAGTAGTAGTAGTAGTAGTAGTAGTAGTAGTGGTAGTAGTAGTAGTAGTAATAGTAGTAGTAGTAGTAGTAGTCGTAGTCGTAATCGTAGTCGTAGTCGTAGTAGTAGTAATAGTAATAGTCTAGTCTAGAAATAGTATTCGTAGTATTCGTAGTAGTAATAGTAGTCGTCGTCGTCGTAGTAGTATTCGTAGTAGTAGAAATAATACTAGTAATAGTAGTAGTCGTAGAAGTAGTAGTAGTAGTAGTAGTAGTAGTAGTAGTAGTAGTAGTAGTAGTAGTAGTAGGAGTAGTAGTAGGAGTAGTAGTAGTAGTAGTAGTAGTAGTAGTAGTAGTAGTAGTAGTAATCGTACTCGTAGTCGTAGTCGCAGTCGTAGTAGTAGTAGTAGTAGTAATAATAATAATAGTAGTGGAAGTAGTCGCAGGAGTTGTAGTAGCAGTAGTAGTCCCCGCCTCCCTTTCCAGGGCCGAGGCAACGCTCCAAGGGTGCGCGAGTGTTACCCTTTTGCTGTTAAGGGCTTCCCTCAACAGCCCCATGAGGTTACGCACGCTGGCTACATACGTCTTGGGGCGAGGCGAGGGGGACGTCACGATTGGGACGGTTTGCCAGGGGGCGACTAGGCCGCCCCCGACCCTGACTGGAGGGAGGCCTCTGGCTTCCCCCAGGAGCTGCCTGGGCTCTCTGAGCCTGGGCTCTCTGAGCCTCCTCTGGAGCCGAAGGGGGGCTTTTCGGCTCCTGAAGACGCCCGCCCCCCTCTCACCTCCACCCTCCACAAGACGAAGCCAGGGCGAGGATAACATCGGGGGATGACACATCGAGAATTTCTGAGACCCGGCGGCTTTGGAAGGTGTATCGGGCGCCGCGGCCTTCTCGTTCTTTGAGCAGGGACCGACCGCCTGGGCACTCCTATAGGCCTACAACGACATGTTCTCAGAACCCAAATAACAAGAACAATGTTATCGGAACAGAAGCCCGAGGTGTTATATAAGACAGTCTCAGCCAGAAATATTGTAAGAACATTTCGTGCACACTCGTTGGTGGATCTATAGGAAAGCCAAGACGCTTCGCCACTGTTTGAGTCCCGGCCCCGTCCGACTCCGCGCGCCGCCGAAGATCCGGATCCAAGCATGGTGACCAAATCTTCGAGGCGGATCCAGCCGTGGCGACGAGAAGCCCCCTCCCGAAGGCCTGGATACAGGGACAACTGCCACTCACACACACACACACACTTTTTGCGTCGGCGGCTAAGCAGAGTGACTGCGCTGGCGGACGAGTAAACATTGGACGAACAAATGGGACTTAAGCCGTAATGCACGGGGGAAAGAGGACACATTCACACACACGCACACACACTCACACACACACACACACGCACACACACACACACGCACACACACACACACACACGCGCACACTCGAGACTCGAACCTGGAACTCGGGGGACAGCGAACAGCACAGAATAAACTGCCGGAGGTCCGCGCGAATCTCTTAGATCGGCGCTGACCCCCCTGGCGGCGCCTCAGGCGCCGCTCCCGGCGCGCCAAGAATCGGGGGAGCGTAAGACCCGGGTACAGGGGACTCGGAAATCCCCGACGAGGTCGTCAAACAAATGACGAGGCCGAGCCTGCATTTTGACGAGGCCTCCCGCTGCCCCTGGTCATCACCCCCCTCTTTTCCGCCCCCGACCCCCTGGCGGCGCCTCAGGCGCCGCTCCCAGAGCGCCAGGAAGGGGGGTCCAATGCCGATCCGAGCAACCCGCGCGGACCCCCGAAGGTCTATTTCGGGGGGGGGGGGGGCGACAGGGTAGGACAGCCAACGGCAGGGTATAGAATCAGCTCGCTTTTGACCACCCTCGCTTCCAAGAGATACCAAACGATGCCAAATTGCAGCCTGTACTGGTCAGGCCGCTTGACGGGGAGGCGCGTGGTATGGCTTGGTTTTGCCTGGAAGCGAAAGCGGGGTAGGTAATTCACGCTCTGAGAATCAGCTCACGGATGCCGGCTTTCCCGGCGCATCTTGGCGCCGGGAGGCGCCCATATGTACAGTAAGAGCTCGACCACAGAGAACCTTCCACAAGAAACCCAACCCCCAGGCCGTCCATCGATTTTTGCCGTGGGAACGTCACGCTTTCCATAGCAAAACCATCGAAGCCCAAGAAACCCAGAGCACACTGGTGGCAAGCAGTGTATTTTTTTGGCATGGGTCTGAGGGGCTCGGCGGGGCAGAAACCAGCTGCACTCGAAACTCGAAGCTCGAACCCGAGGAACCACATGCAGCACAGACATGCCCCTAGACCTCCCCGGTGTGCTGCTGTTCGATCCGAGGCCCCGGGAATCTGGACTGACTTCTGCTGCCGGGGGTCCACTGGCCCGGGTTCATCCCTCCCTCCCTCCCGTCCCCCCTCCCTCCCTGCCTCCCTCCCCCCCCCTCCCTCCTTCCCTCCCCCCCTCCCTCCCTCCCTCCCCCCCTCCTGCAGGATCCTGCAGGATCCTGCACCCAAGCCCAGGTCAAGGCAACCCTGGCTCTGCAAGGTCCTGCCGGCTCCACCTCCTCCTCCTCCTCCTCTTCCTCCTCCTCTTCCTCCTCCTTCCTCCTCCCTCCTCCCTCCTCCCTCCTCCCTCCTTCCCTCCTTCCTCCCTGTGCTCCCAGCTGCGCGTTGCCTGGACCCCGTCTCTTGAGCCTGGCTCTTGTGGCCCCGATGTGTTGCGGTTCGCTCCGCGGCCCTAGCAGTCTGGACTCGTTTGAAGACCTCCTGGACTTGAGCAGGGACCGACCGTCCCGGCATCCCTATAAGCCTACCACGAAATATTATCAGAGCCCAGAGCTTTTCTAAGAACAGAAGCAGTGTTCTTAGAACATAGAACCGATGTGTTAAAACAAGACAGTCCCAGCCAGAAATGTTCTAAGAACATTTCGTGGAAACCGCGAAGGGTTCTTAGAACATTGTTTGGTGGGGCTATTGCTCGCCCGGACGCTTCGCCACTGCTTGATAGATGAGGTCCGAATAGATGGAGTCGGAGGATCGCACCGCCTCGCCGATGCATCGGGGATCCGTCGGTGATGCATCGGCGACGTCGGCGATGCATCGGCGACGTCGGCGATGCATCGGCGACGTCGGTATGGGGAAACACGGGCTTCACACCGAGCCGCATCGCCGATACATTGGCGATGCGGCGCGATCCTCTGACCCCCATCTACTCGGACCCCATCTGGGAGGCCTAGATCATGTTTGACGGCCCCAGGGCCTCCATCCCGGGCCCAAGGCCGAAACCGAGAAAAAACGCCCGTGATGAGCAGATCATCGCCGGAGATCCAGGCCTGTGCCACTGTCACGATGACGATTACTGTCACGATGGCTATTACGGTCGCTGGTACTGTTACTATTACTAGCACCAGTACGATTCCTTCGGGAGGCACAAGGGGTGCCCCGTGCAGCTGCTCCTCGGGCCTCCCAGAGGCGCCCTCCGACCAGGACTCCGAGGCGATTCCAAACGGGGAAAGGCCACAAGGGGAGGGCAGCGGTATCAGTATCGGTACCTTCTCCTCCTCCTCCTGCCCCTCCTCCTCGCCCTCCTCCCCCTCCTCCTCCTCCTCCCCCTCCTCCTCCTCCCCCTCCTCCTCCTCCTCCCCCTCCTCCTCCTCTTCCTCCTCCTGCTCCTCCTCCTCCTCCTCGTCCCCCTCCTCCTCCTCCTCCTCCCCTGAGCTGTTCTCCTCCGCCGGCCGTGAGCAGGGCGGCGTGCGACGCGAGGGCGACGCCGCCCTCCGCGGCGGCCGCCATGCCGGCCACGGCGCCCGACACGGCCAGGCGGCGGGGGTCCCCCGGGAGCACGACGTCGGCGCGCTCGTAGAAGCTGGGCCTGAGAGGCAGCGACTCATTTTTGTGTGGCCCAAGAGGGGGTCCAGCTGAAAGGGGGTCCAGCAATACATTCGCGCCCCGAAATCTCTTGCACGCGCCCCAGATGTATGGCAACCCCACAAATCTATTGCACCGAATCTATTGCACCACCCCCTTGTCGCCGGACCCCCTTTTGGGTCAACCCGATCATGGCGCTGGCCTTGCAGACGTGCTGCAGCGGATTTCTGCGTGGATGTCTGCGTGGATGTGTTTGCCCGACACGGCGAGCGAAAGGCGAAGTGAGCTTCGCATGGATTCGTGTTTGTCTTCATTCCTGGCCAAAACAATCCGCACGATAACCTCGAAATCCGGAAAACATTCTCCAGGACACTCCGGGTCCACCCATCGTTTTTCCGAGCGAAATCCGCTCTGCGATGTTGGCGCCATGAAACGACGGGGGGGATAGGCGTACCACGAAGGATGCATCGACTCCGAATGGCCGATACGTCGCCCGTGCACCTACGATATATCGTCGATGGAGATCGCCCCAGGCACCGTCGATGTAGCGTCGGTACATCGCCCTGGTGCGCATCAGCGGTGCACCGTCGATGTATAGCCGCATCTAGGACGAACATCATGCTTCAAGAACACGAGACCCTCCAAGTGAGGAACATTCGAGGGTACCCTCGCCCAGCATGCACAAGAACATCCAATAAGCACGAAGAACATCAGGGCACCCTCCCCGAACCGACCTCGACCCTGTATCTCCGTTCCGACTTTATCATAAAAAACAAGCAACTGCATAGACCTAAACGTTTGGCGTTCCGCGCGGATTCCTTCGATCCGCGCTGGACCCCCTCCCCTGGCGCGCGGAGCGCGCCAGTGGAGGCGCCGGAGGCGCCGTCCGGTGTTTCTTGGCCTCCGATGTACCTCGGTCCGATCAACAATTGGCGGCGAGCGAGTCGGGAAGTGAGAATGAGAAGGCCTTTGACAAGGCCTTGAAGTCCCCTGGCCTTCTGGAAGTTTTCAGAGCCTTCCCCGAAGACAGAGAAGACTTCTCAGCAGGCGCGAGGGTTTCCAAGAAGTCCCGCCGCCTTCTGAGAAGGCCTTCTCCCTCTCACTCCCCCCCCCTCTCGCCGCCGAATCAATCGTTCGAGGTCGATGCATCCAGGAAACGCAGGAGCGGGGAGTAAAGAAGTAGGTGGCGAGGCAGGACAGCAACCAAGAAGATGGCGTGGGACGACTTCTCAGGAGCGCAGCGACAATGCACAGCAGATGCACGAGGACGACGTGAGCTGGAAAAAACGAGCCCTTCTGTCACAGAGGCCACGGTACCGCGGGGCGGAGGGGAGCTCAGCGCGGGGCAGGCGCGGGGCTGCCGCGCGCCGCGCGGAAGGGAGGCGGGGCCGCGCGCCACGGGGCTGGGGGGGTTGCAAAATCTACGGGGGCTCGTCGTGGGCCCCCAAAGAGGCCTTTCCGCCACAGAGGGGCTCAAAGCTTCCCTTATTATACGGCGCGTGGTTTCGGGGTGCCCCCCGAGGGCTCGTCGTGGGCCCCCAAAGAGGCCTTCCGCCACAGAGGGGCTCAGAGCTTCCCTTCTTAGACGGCGCGTGGATTCCGGGTCCCCCCCCGAGGGCCAGGCCGCGTGGCCCACCGCGGGGCGGCCGCCGGGGGCCGCAGGCAGCACGCCGGGCAGCAGGTGCTGGCAGCCCAGCGCCGCGCTCCTCGGGGGGGGGGGGGGGGGAA